CGTCATGGCGAATCTACCGCTTGGTCTTCTTCTTAGGAGCAACAACCTTGAAGTTGCTCGAGTCCAGGGGTTGCTGCTGGGTTGCGTTGGCGCCACCCTTCTTGGCAACTTCAGACCATCCGCTTCCTGCAGCCTTGTTCTCAGCGGGAGAGGAAGTGTTGCGCTCATCAATGATGCCCTTGTCCGCTAGCTTACGGCGGCGAAGGAACTCCTCGGCGAAATGGCGAGAGTCGAGCGTGCTGGAGGCGGAATGAACGGACTCGGTAATGAGTTCGGCGTCAGCAGGGAAGCTGAGAAGAGATGAGACAAAGTCCTCCGCTGTACAAACGTTAGCAAATATCGCTCAATACAATACAAGTCAGGACATACCATTGATGCTCTTGTTAAGATCATGGCGGAGCTCATTGACGGCCCACTTGCGGAATTCTTCTTCCGCATTCGGCTTGCCAGATGGTGCTCCTGCAGTACTACTGCGAGCGACTGTGGGCTTCTTAGCGAGAGAGGGCACTATAGTAGAACTAGCCGAGCGAACGGCGCCAGGAACGGGCGTTGTCGTACCACCTGGTGCCTTGACCTTTCCACTTGCGCCAACCGTGGTCCATGGGCTGCTACCAGGAGGCCCTGCAGGTCCTGCAGGCGACGCAGGGGTGCTCTTACCCGCCAAATCAGCATATCGCTTTCCGGCAGATGGTGGTGGGACTGGTGATCCAAATACATTGGCTGCAGCAACACTCTGAGCAGCGGCACGTTGCTTTCGAGCTTCCTCCTCCTTCTGAATTTGCTGAAGCGTCTTCTTGGAACTTGGAGTCGGCTGTGCGGCAACCTTGCTTGTCACAGGCTTGGTCCATACGGAAGCATTGTTTGCACTGGGTGTGACGGGAGATGCACCGCTTGCCCAAGTTGAACTGGAAGGCAAACCGGGTTGCACCGCAGGCGACTGGTTCTGAGCCTGAAGTTCTTTCTCGAATGCTTCGCGACGAGCTGCAGCTGCGACAGCCTCTCGCTCTGCCGCCTTCTTTGCTTCCATCTCCTGGATCTCCCTCAGAGAAGGACCATGGGACGCGTTGACAGGCTCCTTCGCCCATGGCGCAACTGAGACGCTTGGGGTATCGGCAGCTGGGGTTGCCGCACCCGAGCGAGATTCGGCATTGAGATTTTCGGCAACAATTGGTTTCCTCTGGGCGGCAGGTGCAGGAAGAGGAGACTGGGATGGTGGCGGCGGGAATGGGAAAATTGCGGGCTCAACCTTGTTCCACGCACTTGCAGATTGAGGAGATTGTTTGGCAGAAGCAGCCTTCTGCACTTGTTCAGTAAGCGATAGTGGCTCTTGTCCAGTAGAGGATGGCTGCTCCTTGTTTTCAGATTGTTGTTCTTGACCATCTGCGCCAACGGGCGATGCAGGCTCAGAAGCTTGTTGTGATTGCTGAGCCGACGAAGATGAAGGCTTTCCAATGACACCCTCTGGTGGAGGGACTGCCTTTGGCAGTTCCATATCTGTCTGGACTCGCAGCTCATTAAACTCGGCAAAGCGCTCAGCGAAGTTGCGAGCAGCCTGTACGTCTTCAGCGCTGCCCTGGCGGATCATGGCATCATGTTCTGCTTGTTCGCGCTTCAAGCGAGCCCGATCGCCGATCACTGAAGCCACATATTGTGCATGTGCATCTTGGTCCTGCTGTTGTCCACCGAAGCCAAACTGGGGCTGATTGTTCCGTCCCAAGTTGAGACGATCCATCATGGCGGGCACATCTTGGTCTCTGCGATTGTTCATCATGTCCATACCAGGGCCAATAGGGCCTAGACCAGGTACTGGACCTGGACCAGCTCTGAAGGTACTATCAATTAGCCCAGGAACAGGTGCTCCTGGTACGGCTCCCTGCGGGGGCGATGGCTGATATCCGCCAGGTGATGTGATACTACCAAAGCTTGGCTGGCTGTGCAGACTATGTGCACTGGAGTGGTGATTGAGCTGGTTTGGTATTACTCCCATCTGGACTTGGCGGGCAAGGGCTTGTTGCTGTGCAGCTAGGTGCTCCTTCTGACGAGCCATGAGGTACTGCTCTTCTTGCTTTCTACGCTCAAGTGCATTTTGTTGCTCGGCAGTAAGGGTGGTTCCGAAGCTCGGGAAGCTGTTTGCAAATGGAGGTTGAGCTCCTGGAGCAGCAGCGGCACTAGGACCGGCACCGGCCCAGGAGTTACCAGGCTGGGATGTAGCGGGACCATGGGGAATGCCAATTTGAGGGACTAAGAAAGGCTCACGCGAGTTGCCAATACGACGGATGAGCTGCGCAAGAGGTTCATAGTCGGGCTCCTCGGCCTTCTTGACTAGCAACTCGGGCGAGAAGAATCCAGCCTTGTACCAGTCGTGCATCTCCAGACCAGAAAATGGGCCTTGAACATTGCCCGATGGGTCGCGGTAGATCCACCTCATTCTATCAGGCATGACCATCATACGCTGTTGAGGAACTGGAGGCTGGCTGGAAGCTGGGCTTCCAACGCCTGGGGTCGAAGGCTGGGCAGTCCTGGTCGGGTTCAACGCAGCCATGGAGAGGGAGGTAGTAGCAATGTTCTGGGGCTGTCCTGTTGAGTTATGATCGTCATGATGGGCATTAGAAAAGTCGTCAAAAAGATTGCGGTTTGCGCGGAAAGGGCTATCCGTATCACGAGCAGGTGCTTGGCCGCCAAAGGCGTTTCTTCCAAAAGTGCCAGTCATGCTATGCTGACGATCACCGTGTGAAGATCCATCGTCAACAGGGGCTCGATTTGGGTCGTTTGATCGCATCTGCTCTTGCATAGAAGCTGGGAACAAGGAGCCGAGCCTGCTAGAGCGGCCTACTGTACCATGGCCATGACCAAACAACGAGCTGTTGCCTAGGCCGGCCAGAGAAGGCGATTGAGCTTCACCTACGTTTCCGAAAGCACTTTCAAAGCCACCGAGACCGCCGCGTTCGCGGGTTGGGGTACCCAAGGTGTGAGATGGCCAAGCCGAGGCACCTCCCAGACCAGGCAGACCACCACCCAGCCCAGGCAAGGTAGGAAAACCTCGATTGGGGCCAACGCTGGAGGTTTGACTACGATCGCTTGCTGCAGTCTCGAATGGCACAGCCTTTCCAAGGCCTCCAAGGCCACCAAAGGCATTGTGAATGCTTGAGTGGACCGACTGGTCAATGTGGAAGCTGCTCATGCCAGGAAAGTGGGCGTTTTGGTCGCCGGAATCGTCCGAGTCGTCATGCTGATCCCGTGCGTGATGCGGGCTCTGGTATGGATTGGTATCCGTCGGGCTCATGGGCTCGTTACCAGCTCCACGGAGGGGCGACTGCTCTGTGAAATTATTCTTGCTATACATGTTGTCGGTAGTCATTCCGAATGCAGATAATCCAGAGTCATCACGGTGGTCTGGGCGGTGGGGCGTTGCGAAATTACCGAAGCCTTGAGGTCGGGGCGGACTAACGTCTTCGCCGCGAAGCGCAGCACTGCCCGTTGGGTGGTCATGGTCGGGGAAAGGATCTGTGTCGCTGCTCATTGGTCGGTTAGTGCGGGCCTCCATCCACGATGCATCAGTTTTTGAGGGCTCTGCCTCGCTAAGCTTGCCCAAGTTATTCGTCGAAGCTTTGTCCTTCGGGCCGTTGCCAAAGTCCTCAACACTTGGTTTGCCCATTAGACCTTTGAAGCGACTCTCGCCGCGCAAGCTACCGTAGCCAGGCTTTTTATCTGCTTGTGGATTGGCGAAGCTTCCAAATGCACCAAAGCCACCACCAGGCGTTGCAGACCAAGGCGATGCACCAGCACCTGGGCTGAACGGCGCCGTAGTGCTCCGCTTCGCAGGACCAAAGGGACCTGAGTTGTCACCAGCACCCTTCTCCCGATCGCGTTCTTCACCCGGACGACCCTCTGCAGACTCCTTGTAATCCGTCCGACGACGTACCAAAGCAGGCGGCGGGGTGACGGCACTGCCTTCTTCGCGCGCGAATCGTGAGGTAGCGGGGGAGGAGGGGAAGGGGTAGGCTTCGCCGGTGTCGCGACGTCGAGCGCCCGGTCGTGAGGCAGTGGGCGAGGACAGACCGTAGGGAGTACCTGCTCCTTGCGACACCGAAGACTTGCGCAAGGACAGAGGTTCTTTGGGAGTACCGTCCTTGTTGTTGTTCTGCGTGGGGGGTTTCAACGGCGAGTTAACAGACGAAAGGAAGATCTAAGCGAGAAAGCGCACGTTAGCCTCGGTCGCTGCATGGTGCAATGAGCAACAGCCTACCTCTCTTTCCTCGTCGGTCATGTCTGTAAGACTCAGCGGCAATATACTGCCGTCTTTGTCCCAGCACTGATCGACCCCGCTTGGCGCTTCCCTGCCACCACCATGATCGTCTTTGCGGCCCCAGGACGCGCCCGAGGCCCCGTTGGTAGCGTGAGGTTCCCATACGCCCATGTACAAATCTGACAATCCGTCGCTGAGGTCTCCGGCCTGTTGCTGTATCCGGAACAACTGCGTCAGTTGATCTCGCGAATACCGGCCCTCAAACGAACTGCCATTGCGGCCAGGCTGTGCATGTGGGGGGACATATACGCCGGCGCTGGTTGAAGAATTTTGCGGCGCAGGAGGGTCTCGTGAGGCTGGTTGGGTTGTTGATCCGGATAGGCTGGTCGCGTGTGAGGGTCGGCGGAATGTTTGCGTGGCACCGTTGATGCGTCGGGCCCTGCGGTCGGCGTGAGTATCAAAGCAATTGCTACGCCACATGTTTGCAGCGATGGGTATCGGGGGTTGTGTAGGGCGAGAGAGCAGTGTGTTATTTATAGCGACTTGAAATGGGCGAGCACCGCGCGCCCAGAGTGAAGAATGATGCGTGTGGAGGAGATGCAAACAGAGACGAGGGCCGACTTACCAGTCGCCGCCCGCTTCTACGCGCGCTGGATTGGCGCTGTTTCCCGCAGCTGCCGAAGCAAAAGAAGTAGGAGCCATGGTGTGGTGGGTCAAGGAGTGGTGAGGGAGCGTGGTGTCGATGCCAGAAGATTTAGTGTGGGGATGGGTGCGGCGATGTGTTGGAGACAGGTCCAGTCGAGGTGAAGATGGCAGGCGGGCAGTGGTTTCGTGCGAGGCGGGACAAGGAGGCAGTGGCACAGTATGTAGTGGCACGGGATTCGGTGGGGGGATGCAGTCGTATTGCGGCGACAAAAGAAGAGCTGCTCTGCTTCGGCGAACATTTGAGGTTGGCCTGCAGCCGAGACAGCCACACGTGACTGCGCTGCCCGGTGGAGACGCCCATGTTTTCTCCCACCATCCCGCCACACTACGCGTCAACGCGTCGTGCCGCAGAGTTTGTCCTGTCATTTTGTTGCCTCCTGGTTTATGAATATCTTAGGCCGGCGTTCGGCCTGTGGCAAGCCATCTTGTCCCTCTGCATGTGTACTTGTATTCATCTATCTATCCATGTGTGCATGCGGAAGTCGCGCCCGGGCGTGCCTTCCCTATGACGTTACCAATAGCGACTTCCCCTGCTGTCATCATAACCCACCATCGCCGCCCAACTCTTTCCGTCCTTCTATCAAACGTCACATCCAAAGCATCATGTTTGATCCCTTATTGTATGGCCCCTTTACTCTGCAGACCCCTTTTTCGTGTGGTTGAGAACCAGCTGAAACAGCACAACGGAGTCTCGCTCGACTTGCTTTCAGCTCCAGTGAAATCATCCTCATGGTAGCTGACGAATCACCGCCCCAGCTTATACTCTTCCGCCATAAAGGCCATAGCAATAGAAGCAGCTTACAGTAAAATCTTAACGGCTCCTTAGTGGCGTGCGGATCACTAGGCACATCGGAGGGGGATTGGCATAAGATCGACAAGACAGATCTGCCGCATGTGGGCAGTGAGGAGCATATATACATGCGTGCACTCCCAAGTTGACAGGCGTGATTTGGAACCATTCTCGGATTTGGCCTTAATTCACACCCATGGACTATCGGCACCTGTCGCTCAATGCAGGTACTTCGCGCTGGATGCACTCTGACATCACAAACCAGCGCTACTCCGGTGTACCGTTCCGCACGCATGACCATCGGAACTCTTCTGGAGTTGATTTTTTCTTACGGGGGCGAAGATGACGGTGACTCTGACATGCCATTGGTGGATAAGCCATCAAACCGGAAAAGAGACTTTGGCCATCCTGGACAGTCAGCAAACTGAGTTTCACAAAGGACAAGTGGGGTACACACTTTTCGTAATTCCCCGCCTACGATGATGAGACTGGTGACAGTGATCATGGAGTTGACTTTGAATGGCTTCTTCCAGATCAACCATGGATAAACTAGACACTAGAAACTTCATGGTTTCTTGATTAAACCCATTCTGGAATTCACGTTTTGTCTTGCATCACTGCCACTAGCTCACGGAGCGTAGTCAGGGCCATTCTGACGAGGCAAGCACTAACCATGTTTGCTATCCAAGCACGAACAGAACACAGGGCAACCGCTCCATCGCGTTGGCATTATTACACACGCCTGTCGCCAACCTGTCAACAACCGAGTGATTTTTTCTAGCGGCTTGCCAGGCCTCTACAAACCAACGAAATCTGCTCATGCCAAACGCCCCGTCTTCTATGCAATGCTCAAAGAACAATTGGCATTGCTTGTAGATTGCTTGCCGCTTCACTGGTTGTATGGGCGTACTCAACCTCCTGACCATATACAAGTTTGGTTCGTCATATTTCAACAGCTCAGTTGATCATCCCCCCCAACGGTTGGTCAGTGTCCACGAGTAAGGTATTCCAATGAAGATGGTATATTCCTCTGCATTGGAAACGAATTTTGAGACTCGTGATTAACTTGAGCAGACTACATTTCAGCCGCATCAAGAAAATGACTACATAGGAGAACCTCTAAATACGTTACACTATAAAAGTTAAAAGCAATACCAACCCCTCATCCTGGCTTGACCTTCTTATCATTTAATGTTCACCTTCAAGCATACTTTGAAAAGCATCGAAAACCGACCAGCTCGCATCGGTGCGAATTACGCAGGTTACCACATCCACCATGTGCCTCCACTTCCACTACACCTACCACTGCCACCCATCTGCTTCTGAAACGCTCTCTCTGCGTTGTCATGCTCTACTCCTGCAGCTCCAAGAAAATCGATCCCTCTCGGCACATTGCCCGTTTTCAGAAGTGTGCCCACGGCTACGGGAAAGATATATTTCTTCACCATACTGCATCAAATGCTTGGCGAAACAAGCAGACATGGATTAGTGCTGCAGGGGCAAGAAGGAGGTGTCGATTAAAATTAGTGCTTCCAGATCGCTCTGGATCTCGTTAACCGCCGAGGGAGGTGCTAGATCCGATTTTGTGACAAGAACTTAGTGTGGCCAGAGCGAGACCCTATCTTTGCCCCAGCCTTTGTACAGGCAAGCAGCGCTAAATTTACCTGGACTGATCTTGTCGCTCACACGTTTATCTTGGTTACATGTGAATGAGATTCATGCATATCCATCTGATGAAGCTGACATGACTGTTTCCCAGATACAACCAAGATCCGCATGCATGTCAGCCCACGTACACAAGCTTCAGCTATTGACCAACCAAGCTTTACCGTTGTGCTCGCTAGCTACAAGCCTTGGACGTCGCAGAGATAAACGTACAGATTACGCCTTGGCTACCCCAGACAAGCCCTAGCCGTTTTCTCGCCTCACCGGCTAATTTGGTCGAGGTGCCTGCACCATCCAGCCACTGAGAGCTCTTCTTGAGTGACACGAGCATATTGAGCTCGGAGTATCACTACCAACGCGGGCAAGAGGCAAGATAGGCGTGCTACACTACTGTAGCCTCTTGCAAAAAGACACCAAGTCTGGATCCTTGGTACTGCACAGCTACCACGCACTGTCTCACTCATGCATCTGCAAAATTCGTCAGCATGAAGCACGATGAGTACTTGAAGGATACTCAGCCCTTGCCTGAGTATGAGGCCTTTGTTAGGGAATTCGAGTATCTTTGGTCGCCATGGCAGAAAAGGCTGGTCACGACGCTACCGTCGTTCCTGTATCAGTTGGTACATCCGTTGAGGATGTAGAGACAAATGGGTTTGATGAAGTAGGCACGAAGAAGCTGCTACGGAAGCTTGATTGGCATCTCATTCCTTTCATGTCTCTCATCTATCTGTAAGTTTTGTATCTCAACTATTATTCTCTCTGCTTCTCACATATACCTAGGCTATGCTTCCTCGACCGCACCAATATAGGCAATGCTCGTCTCGATCACCTCGAACAAGATCTCAACCTGCATGGCCTTCAGTATAATGATTGTCTTGCTGTTCTTTTCCCCTTCTACATCGCTGCAGAGATACCGTCCAACATGATGATGAAGCGTACCCGGCCTTCCATCTGGCTTACTTTCATCATGTTCTTTTGGTCACTGTCAATGATTCTGCAGGGCTTTGTCAAGAATTATTCGGGGCTTATGGCTACGCGAGTATTCCTCGGTGTGTTCGAAGGTGACCTATTCTCCCATCGCCACGCACTACCGTACAACCACTAACCGTTTTCCAGGCGGCTTATTCCCCGGCGTAAACTACTACATATCTCAATGGCAAGTTGCCCCTGAGGCCTGGATGTCGAGTATTAATATCTGGGTTTAGATCACAGCTAATTTCTACTAGGTATATCCGAGATGAGTGCGGGTTCAGAATGGCCCTCTTCTTCAGTGCCGCCACTCTCGCCGGCGCCTTCGGTGGCATCCTTGCACGAGGCATTGCAGAAATGTCTGGCGTAGGCGGACGGGCGGCATGGTCCTGGATTTTCATTCTAGAGGGTCTATTGAGTATTCTAGTCTCCATAGTAGCATACTGGTGCATCTACGACTACCCAGCCACGTAAGTCACTTCTCCTCTCTCAACCAATCATTCATCTGTTCTAACGTACTGATTCTCCCAGTGCCCGCTTCCTCACCTCCACCGAACGCACAGAAGTGCAGCGCCGCCTACGCGAAGACTCGGGCCACCTCTCCAACGACTTCAACGTGAAGTACGTCTACCAAGCCCTCAAGGACTGGAAAATCTACATCTTCATGCTCATCTGCATGGCGGGTTTCTGCCCCATCTACTCCTTCGCCCTCTTCCTCCCCACCATCATCAAAAATATGGGCTACACCGCCAACGAAGCCCAACTCATGAGCGTCCCGCCCTACGTCTGCGCTTGCGTCTTTACAATCGCAGCGTCCTGGTACGCCGACCGCGTCAAGAAACGAGGCATCTTCCTCATGGCCTTCCAACTCATCGCTATCGCCGGCTTCGCCATGCTCGCTGCTACAAGCGCGCCCAGCGTACAGTACGCAGGCACTGTCCTCGCCGCCATCGGCATCTACCCACAGATCCCGCTCGGCATGGCGTGGAACAGCGGTAACATTGGCGGCAGCTTGAAGCGCGGGACGGGTATCGCAATGCAGGTCATGGGCGGCAACTGCGGTGGTATAATCGCATCGTACGTCTATGTTTCACGTGATGGACCGCGATTCATCACGGGCCATAGTATCTTGATTGGATTTGTCAGGTGAGTCTACAACGGAGTTTACTTAAAGTACTGTTTAGCTAATTGATTCGAAAGCATGGCATTCTTCCTCACCTTCTTCATGTCAAACTGGTTCCGCATGGAGAATGCGCGCCGTGACAAGATTGCGCTCGAGACTGGACATCAAGAACTTACCGAGGAGCAAAAGGCCATGGAGAGTGAACTCGCGGATTACGTACCGTGGTTTAGATACACTACCTAAGTTACTGTTGAAAATATGGTGCTGGTCGTTTTTTGTTCAACGAGTCAAGCATACAGGCCATTCATAGACTTTTCTTCTTCGGAGAAAGGGAAATAGAAATCACACATACACATAACTACTACTTCCATATAGACAATGTAGAAATACAAGACCAGTCTCACAAGATTCCCCACATTCATCCCACCCCATTCCATTCCCCATATCTTAACCCTTTATCCAGGTGTGCCTTGTTTTGAAACCCCCCCCCCCCCCCCAGGCTCCCCCCCCACAACATCCATCCGCCCACATACACCTTATACTATCAGAAAGAAAGAAAAAAAATAACAGTCTCAGCGTAAACGTGACAACACCGTCAACCAACCAATCTTTATCCAAAAAAAACCCCCCATATTAAGCCCCATAGCAAGGAGCCGGGGAGTGGGGGTATACAATTCATGCCAAACGAACCTTCAAGTCCACAAAATGCAATATGTGGGTCTCAGAACGAGTGGGGTTGTTCCAGGGGGGGGGG